CTGGGGAATAACGCTGCAAACATTCTAAACGCGAGAAAGCCTTCTTTATATCTGAGATCTCGTAGGGGAGCAATCAGAAGAATGTAACCAATACAGGAAAGCCTTCACCTGTTTGGGTGGATCCATATAAACATGTTGAATGTGTGAAAGCATTGTGGAATTCAGACATTATCTATCCAAGAATTCACGCTGAAAGAAAATTTACCAGTGGGGAGTGTAGTAATAAAAAAAAGTATGATATACTCTTAAATAAAACAATAGGCAAACACATATATGAAGCATAATTTTATCTTTTACATATACATGTTTAGATAAAGATATGCACATTTAAGTAGGTATTCATTTAGATGAAATTTAGAAAGATATGCTCCAAAATTAACAATGGTAATCCGTGGGGTATGAGATTATTTAGGAGGAAGAGGGACCTTCTCTTGTGCATATATATATATTTTCTATGATTAAGTAAAATGGATGATTTTTCCATTTTGTGTATGAAAGATAGACAAAGTGAAATGGAAATATAAAGGCATTTTTGGCCCATTAAGTTGAATTTCAAGTGTGTGTGTCTGTGTAAAGAGAGAGAATAGAATACACACACACGTACAAATAGATCTTCATTGAGATAAGCCCTGGAATTGAAAATATTAAATGTTCACTACTTATAGGTACAGGTTCAGGTTGATAAGAAACTTTTATTTTTGATGTTAAGTATTTTTCTTTTTAAAAAATTCCTTAATGTCTCAGTAACTTCTGTCTTTCCTCAAATCATTCTTTCTGCCACCTTGCCATCTGCTGTTAACTGGTCATCTCATCTGTGGTGGACATCAGTTGGTTTTCTTGGTCCTCCTTACATCCATACTATCTTAACAGCACTTCATTTTTTCCTCAGGAGAACTACCACACTTCCATTAAGGTCTGCCACATACACATGCATAGGTACACTGCACAACTCCAGAGGATTCATCCATTTAGATTGCTGAATAGTACCTGCTGAAATTGAGCAGTGCCAAACCTATACAACTGTCAATGGCAGCCATTGAATGATGGGCCAGTAAGTTGCCCGTCCCACTCCTGGCCTAGGTGGAGCCGAGTCTGTCTGATATGGAAGCCTTGAAGCAATTGCCCATTCCTGTTGTGTAGATCTCTGGAGTTATCCTGGTTCTGGTTCTTACCAATTCCAACAAATTCCTTTTTTATGTAGCTCTTCAGAGATACTTTGTGTTGCCAACAAAGAACCCCAATAAGTCACAATCCACACCTCAAGCGTTCTTCAAACTGGAAACCAAATCACAGCAGAGGGTCTTGAGTGTTAAAACTAAAGCTAGTCTTTGTTCGTTATCCATCATTTAGTCACCCAACAATTATTTCTGGATACCTGCTATGTGCCAGGCACTGTTCTAGGCTCTGGGAAACAAGAGTGAAAAAGCCCAACACAGTCCCTGCCTTTATGGGATCTGCCTATTCAGAATCTGGTGAGGAAGACCACAATATTTATTAGCCACAACTAGCTATACCATTTCAAATAGCTATAGAGTTCCAAATTGTAAGGAGCTCTGTGAGGGAAAAGAATGGAACGCTGTGTGGAAGATATTTTTAAGTAGATAGCATTTATTTTAGGCTTGCGAAGTGCAAGCACTTTCTATGCTTCCTAACGATCACCCGAACAATGCCGCAGCTTAAATCTGACTGTAGGTCCTATTTCACAGATGTGAAAACAAGACCTACACTAAATAGAAAGATATATCATTAATAATTTATAAATATAAATAGGGTCTTTGCCAGGACCTGGAACTTTAAATACTAAAACTGGGGCAGTCCTGGGCAAACACGGACAAGTTGTCGTTCTAATAAATAACTCCGCTAAGGTCACACTTTAGGGAGTGGTGGGGTGAATACTGACTCCAGATCTAGTTTGACTCCAAAGTTCATGTACACAGTGACCACCCCACAGGTGCCCTCTGATGTGAGCAGTCTGTGGAGAAATGGAGGCGAGCAGGAGAGGCTGAAGGCAGGTCAGCGAGAGGCTGAGGCAATGGTCCAGCAAGAGATAGGAGTGGAGATGAAATCTCCAAACAGTTCGGATCCAAACAGTTACTCCCATCAGTAAAGGTTTGGATCGGAAGGGAGAAGGAGGCAGAAGTGGGATGACTCAAGGGTTTTGGCTCAGGAATGGAGAGGAAGTGATCTGGGGAGGAGGACGATGATTCAAATCGGCCATAGTGCGTGTATCATCCAGGTAGAAATGCTAGAGCACAGCTGGAGAGGAATCTCAGAACTAGAGAATCCTCATGGCTTAGCTTGTCAGAGCCCAGAGACGAGCTGGAGATGAATGCCTCAGGATCAGCCAGGCTTTCTGGGTTGCAAGCAACAGACATTGACTCAGACAAGCATAAGCAAAAAGGGGAACTTTTTAATGAGGATTTTGGGAGATTCCTAGAACCGAGTTAGAACACAGGTGGGAAATAGGGCAGAATGCGTGGCAGGAATCAATGACATCTGGTGGGGATGTCACTGCCACCACTGCACCCAGACAGTGGAAGTCCCGCTGCTGTGGCTGCTTCCATTGCCACTGAATAACGGGTACCACCGTTGCTGTTGCTAGCGTAAATAAAATACTCCTGCCTCCCCCTTGCCCCCTGTGCATTTGTATCAGTTGCTGAAGATTCAAGTCCTGGGCATCTGATTAGCTGAACCCAAGTCACATGGCCCATGCCCCAGGTGCCAAGAGAAAAGAAACGCAAGTGTCTGGCTTTTCAGGTTTCCTTAGTGGGAGAAGGTAGCCTGCCTTCTAGCAAGATTTACACATGGGTGATTTCCCACGTACAGAAAGGATGTTCAGAAGTCAAGGAACCAAAATGAACGGATGATAATAAAATGTGTAGTACAACTTCTGCAGCTGTCATGTGCACCCATGCCATTGTATACATGATGCTCAAAGAAAAGTCCTGCAATGTACACAGTTGTCCAAAAGTGGCCCCCAAAAGTTCTCACAGGGCTGCCTGGGCATTGAGCCAGCTGGGTCATGGAGGGGGAGTGCCTCCTTCTTAGTTTCCATGAGACCAGGGGCCCTCTCCGCAGGAGAAGAGGCTGTACCTTCTCATAGTTCCCAGTGTCCCCAAAGGCAGGTGCAGTGCCCAGACAACTCCTGTGAACCACAGGCATCCCCAATCCCTTCTGCCTGGTGCCCGGGCAGTTTGTCGCTTCCCTTCCTTGATGAGGCTGCTTTCACATGCTCCCCCATAAGAAGGGAGAGTAATAGGTGTGGGATCTCTCCACTGGAACACAGCCTACACTGTGAGTCCAGGAAATCACTCGTGCCCTCATTCCTTTCTGAGGGATAATGGTGGGATGGGGGACCTGCGCATTTTCTTCTCTCCCTGACCCTCAACTTGAACTTTACTATCTACACAATAAATCTTATGTTAACCCGTTCTATGAGATGTCTCTGAATTTCACCTGAGTCTGACAAATGGGGCCCCCGAAGGGACCACCTCACCCTAACAATGCTTTGCCAAGGTCTTAGAGCAGTTGGGGCTACCTAGAAAACCCCCTGTCCTCTCCACCCTAGTTTCCATCTCTGACCTGTCTCCCTACCTGTCAATGCTATCTTCTTTGTTCTGGATCCTTTGGTACCTTAAATCCTTCTCTTTTCTTTTTTAAGATTTTATTTATTTCTTTGAGAGAGAGAGAGAGCACACAAGCACGAGCAGGGGGAGTGGCAGAAGGAGAGGTAAAAGCAGGTTTCCCACTTAGCAGGGAGCCGGATGCAGGGTTCCATCCCCGGAGCTCGATCCCGGACCCTGGGATCATGACCTAGCTGAAGGCAGACGCTTAACCAACTGAACCAGCCAGACACCCTAAATCTTTCTTTTTAGAGGAAAAGCTTTTAAGAACTTCCCATCCAGGGTATTAAAGAGGGCACGTTCTGCGTGGAGCACTGAGTGTTATGCACAAACAATGAATCAGGGAACACTACATCAAAAACTAATGATGTAATGTATGGTGATTAACATAACAATAAAAATTTTTAAAAAAAGAACTTCCCATCCACACGGAAGTTTCAGGTTAACTTCTCCTCCCAAGGAAATGTGCATATCTGGGAAAGACAACACTTAACAACTTCAAATAAACACCAACCGTGGGCTGCTGGCACATGTAGAGAAAAAAATGTAAGATTTTTGGGGGGAGGGAATGTCCCAGATTCCCCTCAATGAAAACATGAAGACACTGCCTATAGGTAAGGCTGGCTCCAGGAGTCTTTTTACAGTCCTCCCTCCCTGCACTATGAGGCTGGGTGGTCCTAGAAACCTGGACCCAGGCCACAGGCCCAGAGGACTCACACCCAGTTAGACAAGGCAGGTGCATCCAGCACCCACCTGGCTGCCTCCCCGGGTGCATCAGTCAGGATTCCAGTGCCAGGCTGGCCGTGTCCTCACTCCCTCCCCTGTTAGACTGGGAGCTCCAGAGAGCAGGGGCCCTGTTGGCATCATCTCTGTAGTATGTGAAATGCCCCGCATGTAGCAGGGCCTCAACAAAGTCATGTGTCACCATCAGCGTCAGGAGGGAGGCAGCATTTGGTGTTTATGCTGGCGGAAAAAAAAAAAAAAAGGCTCCCTGAATTTTTAGGAAGAGTGCACACAGATTCCCAAGAGACCCCTGGTGATAACTCCTACCCTACTCAATTTCTGCAAATGTTCATCCACCCAGGCTGCCATTAGGCCACAGAGTATTTTTGTGTAAATTATAAAAAGGTGCCTCCCTCTTAGATTTGTATATTTATTAAACTGGAAAATTGTTTTACTAAATATACAAATCTAGGCTGTGATGTGAATGGCGACCCCCTAGGGTTGTGCAGTGTACAACCTGCACACCGCTACTAAACAGCCCTGGACACCATTCCCTCCTCCACCACTCCCTCCTCAGTGGAGATAAAGTAGTGGGTCTTGCCCTCAGGTGTCAGGATCCCCTCCCTGTCTGCACATCACGCTCCCTGGTTGCTTCTAAGAGCCCAGTCTGATCTGGGAACAGTCTTTGATGACACTGTAGTCCACAGGGGTGACCTCCTGGGGAGGGAGCTGGGCCGCCTGCCGGCACTGAGATAGTCCATGGAAGGCCTCCCGGAAGCGCTGAGACATAAGGGCGTAGATGATGGGGTTGACTGTGCTGTTCAGGCAGACGCAAAGGCGGCAGAAGAGAAGGAAGCCACGGTTGAGGTAGGGCGGGCTCAGGAAGGAATTCACCACCACCAGGGGGTTGTAGGGCAGCCACAGCAGAGCAAAAACCAGCACCACCACCGTCAGCATCTTGGTGACCTCCCAGGTAAGACAGGAAAAAAGGGACGCATGGGTGCTGAGGGAGAATCCCCAGTTCCCGCCCTCTCTGCGGGATGCAAGAGGAAGAAGCCAAAAGAGCATCCAGGCCTTTGCCAAATGGTGCCCTCACACATGCCCCCCTTCAGCCCCATCCCCAGCTAGAACACTGCTGCGCATCCTTCCAGGCCCTGCTCAAGTCATTTTCACTGGGGGACTCCCTCCCACTGACACACACCAGCCCCCAACTCACCTCTAAAACCCTTGGACAGGCCACCATTTTTACTGGCAGCAAATTCACGAATCCACTGCCTTCATCATGGCGGAACTTGCAAATTCACGAATCCACTGCCTTCATCATGGCGGAACTTGCAAATTCACGAATCCACTGCCTTC